CTCGCTCCCGTCCGTTATCCGGAGCTCCCGACTCTCCTTTGCTGTTGTCGCACTTTACGCAACAGAAAAGTTTTCCAAAATTAGATAATCATTCTATAGTAAAATTACACTCTAAATTTCAAATTTTCATTCCATCTTAAAAAATCTCATTCCAATTTTAAAATTTTCCGTCTTACTTGAAAACTTTCCTTCCAAGAATTATCCCTTCTTATTTGAACTGGATGCTAGAGATGAAATGAAAGTCTGGACGAATTTATGAAATATTTTAATTGGAATGTCATTCTAAGTAAGGATTTCCAATCATAAATAGGCTAATCCAATCTAAATTATAAGATATTTGTTGTAGTAGAATTAAAGTTTAATTAAAACATTTCATAAACTCGTCTAGATTTTCATTCCATCTTGAACAAATAGATGTAGTTGGAAGGGAAAACTTATATTTAGACGGGAACTTATCAAATAAAATTGGAAAATTTAGAATTGGACGAACATTGGAATGATAATTTATCAATATGAAAGATTTTTTTTTTTATGGAAGGTGTTTTCAACTTTCATTTCTCGTGGAAATTTTTCTGTTGCGTATCTTGTCCGTGACAGGTCCCCCTAGTGTGCATGCAGGAATGCTCATCCTGAACCTCATGGTTCCCCTTTTTCCCGACGTCTTGGCCCCGTCGTCCGTGACGTGGTTCTGGTACCTCAGTCCCTCGATATTGGTCGTGGTCTCCCCTGGCAGAACACGTAGATTCAACATCTGTCAAGCATAATTATCAAGGAAGTAAAGGGCGGCGTAAGGCTGGAGCCGCCCGACAACGTGCACGTGCACGTCGTGATGCATAGCAAGCGTAAGGTTGATGGTCCTTATGGTAGTTCTGATGTTTTTTCTTCATGGCTTTCCAAAGTAATTTCCCACAATTTTTTGTTGTGTCGCATGTGTTGTGGGAGTCCCACATTACTCCTACACTACCGGTTAGACACTGCACCAAACTCGGTGTCAGACACTGGCTGACGCCCTCTCTCTCTCTCTCTCTCTCTCTCTCTCTCTCTCTCTCTCTCTCTCTCTCTCTC